TATAAAAGAAACAAGCACTGAAAAAATATTTTAACTAGGCCATTTATACTGAAAACACCAATTAACAGGAAATAATATTTACATATAATTAATCACACATTCCAAAATCAAGGGTATAAGCAATTACGGCCAACTCTTGATTATCCTTGGCAATGTGGAGGGCATGGCTTAAGCACAATTGTGGATAAACACTAAATCTAACCTAAATTCAACAATAGGGAGCCCTTGTGTCCTTGTATGAAGATATGTGACTGCACAAGAATATTAAGGAGAAAACTTGATTAAAAGTTTATTTTATCTATAAAAGAAAATATCATGCAGCAACCAAATAAAGAATATAGTAATATAATGTTACTTTTCCTAACAGCTGGATTTGAATACCCCGACTTGAAAGAGGGAGACTTGCTTTTGTTGGGCAAATGCTTGGATAAGTCCCCTTGGTGGGCATCTCAGACTGAGGGAGCCACTCGAATCTGGGACTAAGAGATACAGGTAGAACTGGTCTGCAATAAGCATGATCAATGTGTTTGCTTAAAAGAGAGAGAGGAAAAAAGAGCACCCAGCCCAGGTTGGCACTTCATGCAGGTGAAGAGTTCCTACTGGGGGATCCCCTGGGGAGATCTAGAGAGACTTAAACAGCAGATTTCTCTGTGTGAATACTAACTCTCCCCTGTACAACATTTGATAAAGTCTACAATACATTTAGTGCTTTTATGTAAGTAGATTATTGTGGAGTGGAGGATGGAGTGAAAAGGAACTGAGGTTGTGCATCCATCAACATTACATAGCAAAAAAACAATGATTTATATACAAAAGCATTAAACATATGGGTTACATTAGAGCCACAGTTGCTGACATAAAAAGATAGTCAATGTGTACTTCTTCAAAAACAGCAACTTTATTGAGGTACATTTTACACACCATAAAATTCACCTTTGGTTATGAGTAAACTTACCAAGTTGTGTAACTGTCACTGTAACCTAAGATTAGACCAATGCCATCATCCCAATAGGATCCATGATACCTACACACAGTTAATCCCTGTTCCCATCTCCAACCCTAGGCAAGAACTTATCAACTTTCTGTCCCTATCAATTTGACTTTTTGAACATTTTGTACCAATGAAAAATGCAAATCACAATATGTGGTCTTTTGTGCCTGGTTTCTTTCACTTAGCATAATTTTTTTTGAAGTTTGTATGATGCACGAAGTTTGAAGTATGATGTAAGATGTTTTAGAATTCATTATTTTTTATTGCTGAATAGTATTCCATTATATGGCTAAACCATATTTTGTTTATCCATTCACCAGCTGATGGACATTTGGGTTGTTTCTATTCTGGGCTATTATAAATAATGCTGCTATGAACATTCACATGCATGTCTTTGTGCTAACATATTAATATATACTTTTTTGTAGGGGAAAAAAGTTGTAGAATATCAACAATTCTAAGAGCTTTATATTTTAACTTCCTGGAAATTAGAGTGTGCCTTACAGTTGATGGTTTACGTATCCATCAGCATCACATAAGGAAGCAGATGGCACACTCAAACTACAATGCTTTAAGGAAGATTTAATAAGGGGACTAAATATAAAGGTAATGGCCAGTTTGAAGAAGAAGGGAGTCAGTCAGTCATGTGGATAACAGTCTGCGCCTTGAGAAGAAAGTGCTCTTCTAGCTAGGACCACGTTCAGCACAAGGCATCAGTTAGGGACAAAGTTACAGGAATGAATCGCCTTCCCTCACTCTTCTCCTTTCCTTCGGCCTCTTGCAAAAGTTCCCCATTGGCCAGATCCAACTGAAAGCTGGAGGACAAGGGAGCCCAATGACATGGTCCACACAAACTAGCCTTTCAGGGAAGAGGGCAAGGTGGAGAATGGATATGGAAGGACAATCAGAATACATATCTGGCGCACTGTGTCAAAGCTAAACTGGCAGAGCTTTCTTCTTTCTTAGTGATACACAAAACAATGGTGTATTTTCAATTGAGCATTCCAGATTTGATGAAAAAAGGAAAGATTCCAGTTTCATAAAAATCGTTACCATCAATGCATAATAATGTCCATATATGCATGAAATAAAATCTGGACATAAATGCCTCATCTGCAAGAGGGGGATTTAAGATGGAATTTACTTGTCTACATTAAACAGTTCTGTAATTTTAGGATTTTTTACAATGAGCATATCCTATTACCAAGAAAGACCTAGATCTTTGTGGTTTCTGAATACCACGTCTTGTTCTTCCTCTTCAAACTTCCTTTCATTCCTATTAACTTCTTTCTGTTTTTCCAAACCCTTTTCCCTAACTGATAGAGAACCTGGCCTTCTGCCTTACATTTAGAAAGCATTTTAATAAATATGTGTTAAATAGAGGGAAGATTTAACAAACAAGTCAATTAGTAAATGAAAATAAATTGAGGAACGTGGTTTAATCATTGGCCCCACTGGTACCTACCTGATCCTCTACAAAGTCCAAGGAAACTGAAGACCATATGAAAAATACTGATGAATCAGAAAGGAAAATGAAGAGAAAAAGAAAAAGAAAATTATTATTAAATATTAATATTTCTAAAGCAAGAGAAACAAATTAGATAAAATAAAATTTTGCTAAAGAAGGTAGGAAGTGAGTGGTTAAGAAGTTTTTTTTTTGGAGGAGGTCTCTAAAATGTGTCTATATATCTTTATATTTGATTCTCAAAACAGGGCCATAATCTTTCCAATGATCTCAGAAGGCGTTCTTGTGATAAACATTGAGTAAGGCAAAGAAAACCACAATTTCTGAAGTAGAACAAAAATAGTAAAGAATTGATTCTCTTAAAAACACTCAGTTTCCCATAAAAATTTCAGAATCTCTTTATCTCCCTGCTTTACCCACACTAAGCCTTTACCAGCATTCAGTTTTGTTTCATTTATAACGTTACACTGTGCCAGAAAAAGTCTTTCAGAGTTTCTTGAGATGAAAAGTGGGCTTAAAATATTTTAATAAAATTTAAAAGGTGATACCTCAGTTATTATTTTCTAATTTTATTTCAGTGACATGATGCCTCAAATAATATTTTTGTGGACTAAGCTGAATAGTTAAGCATAGTTTATAACATCATTTATATGGGAAAACATGTTCCAAGTTCTGAACAACCAATTTACAAACAAACTTTTGGAACTCAACCCATTCCTATGTTAAGAACTGCCTGTACTGGTTTCAACCTGTGAACTCACCAACAGCTTGGTCAGGGTTGTTAGCAAAATAGCAAAATTGGCTCATTTAACTATTCCATTCCACTTATTCATTTGTCCATTCATTCATGCATGCATGCACATATACATGCATTCAGCAAATATTTAGGAAGAGCCTACTTTAGCAGGGCCCTGGGCAGGAGGTGAAATGATAGGAACACAGAATAGAATGAGACATGGTTGTTCCATGAGAGAAAGAAAGAGAAAAAGAAATGTAAATGGGAGACACTCCAGGAAGGGAGGCCAAGGCCTCAAAAAGAAGGATCTCAGTGTGGGCAGGATACTGCAAGGAGGTCAGCATTCTGAACAGTGCAGTGCAAGCCATGAACTGGCAAGCTATGATGCTGGACCTGTGATCATGAGGGACTCAATAAGCCATTTTAAGTAAGATAAGCCTTATTATTTTAGTCCCTGTTGGCAAACCTTTATGGGTTTAAGCATTCAAACGAAATGTTCAGACTTATATTTTACTTAGCTCATTCTGGTAACCAGGTAGAACTTGGGTCAGCAAACCTATAGCCTGTGAGACTTTTGTATGGCCCTATGGGCTAAGAATTTCTTTATATTTTAAAATGGCTTTTAAAAATCAAAAGAAAAATCAAATTTTGTGGCACATGAAAATTACATGAAATTCAAATCTTGGTGCCCATAAATAAAGTTTTACTGAAACACAGACAATATTTGTCCATTTACATAGTATCAATGGCTGCCATCACAAAGGCAGAGTTGGATAGTTACAACAGAAACCATATGGCCTAAGAAGTCTATAATTTTGCTATCTGGCCTGTTACAGAAAAGGTTTGCAGACCCCTATTATAGAAGATGGATAAAAGAAGAAAGATCAGTAAGATGGCTTCTGTAACTCTATAGACAGCTGAAAAAATGACACAGGACTTAACTAGGTTAGTGGTAACAGGAATGGAAAGGGCAGGGCAGTTTCAATGACAAAGGTACAAAATCTCCAAGGTGTGGGAACAGAGGTGATGTCAGAGATAATTTCAGGTTTCTGTTCTGAATAACTAGGAAAGATGGTGGTATCTCCACCTGAGCTGGAGGGAGGCTGGGAGGAATGAGGTGCTCTTGAGGACATGTCTGTGCAGATGTCTTAGAGGCAAATGAAAATACATCGACTAAAAATGCAGGCTACAACGAACCCCCATTCATTTCACCTCTGCACATTATACACTAAAATCCATAAATCACTTTTCATATGCCAAATATGGACTTTGTTTCCCTAGCTGACGAATGAACATTTTGACCAATCATGTAGTGAAGCATGCTTAGCAACCAGATGTTGTGGTTCTGGCAGTAACAGCAACCTCTTTACCTAACAATGTTGATGTAATTTTGTGGTTGCTGGTATTTACTAAATTTTGGCCTTGCTGCTTTATTTTTTTTTTTATTTATTCATTTATTTTATTTATTTATTTTTTTGTAGAGACGGAGTCTTGCTCTGTTGCCCAGGATGGAGTGCAGTGGTGCAATCTCAGTTGTCTGCAACCTCCGCCTCCTGGGTTCAAGCAATTCTCCTGCCTCAGCCTCCTGAGTAGCTGGGATTACAGGCACACACTGCCATACCCAGCTAATTTCTTTTGTATTTTAGTAGAGATGGGGTTTCACCGTGTTGCCCAGGCTGCTCTCAAACTCCTGAACTCAGGCAATCTGCCCACTTCGGCCTCCCAAAGTGCTAGGATTACAGGCATGAGCCACCATACCCAGCCTGCCACTTTATTTTTTTAAAAGACAGAGAGAGGTAAAAAATAAGAATAAAATTGCTTTTTCGCAACGGGTTTGCTGCCAGAACACAGGTGTCGTGAAAACTACCCCTAAAAGCCAAAATGGGAAAGGAAAAGACTCATATCAACATTGTCGTCATTGGACACGTAGATTCGGGCAAGTCCACCACTACTGGCCATCTGATCTACAAATGCGGTGGCATCGACAAAAGAACCATTGAAAAATTTGAGAAGGAGGCTGCTGAGATGGGAAAGGGCTCCTTCACCTGGGTCTTGGATAAACTGAAAGCTGAGCGGGAACGTGGTATCACCATTGATATCTCCTTGTGGAAATTTGAGACCAGCAAGTATTATGTGACTATCATTGATGCCCCAGGACACAGAGACTTCATCAAAAACATGATTACAGGGACATCTCGAGATGTAAAAACACATTCAGAAGGAAACGGAGAATGTTTGGATACGAAGAAAACCAACTTTGGTTTCTTTTTTGCGAA